TACGCGGGCCTCTCACTGCTGTGGCCTCTCCCGTTGCGGAGCACAGGCTCCGGACGCGTAGGCTCAGCGGCCATGGCTCACGGGCCCAGCCGCTCCGCGGCACGTGGGATCTTCCCGGACCGGGGCACGAACCCGTGTCCCCTGCACCGGCAGGCGGACTCTCAACCACTGCGCCACCAGGGAAGCCCCGCTGTGCTTTATCTTTTTAAATTTATTTTCTCTCAGTCCTTCAGGTTCCATAATTTCTATCGATATATTTTCACGTTTACTAACTCTTTCTTCTGTCATCTCAAATTTCCTGTTAAGCAATTCAGTGATTTTCATATGTGGTATTTCTCAGTTATACATTGTCCATTTAGCTATTTTTAAAATAGTTTCTGTTTCTCTGTTGAAATTTCCTTTCTTTTCATGCAGTGAGAGCAAATTTTCCTTTATATCCTTGGACATAGTTATAATAGCTACTTTAAAAATCTGCATTTGCTAATCCCAGGATCCCGGGAACTTCAGGGTCTCTTTCCTTGATTGTCTTTTTATTCAGTATGAGCGATATTTTCCTATTTCTTTGTATATCTTCGTATAACTTTGGAGAATATCCTGGGTGTTGAGAATGACAATACCGTAGAGACCCTAGATGTTTAGCATGTCCCTCCAAAGAGTGGTTTGGTTTGGTTTTGCATTTGTAAGCAGTTAACTTGGTTGAACTCAACTTCGAACTCTGTCCCAGCATAAATCCTGGTTCATGTCTTTTAGCCTTAGCAGCTCTGCCTGGAGTCTATCGTGTGTACACGTGCAGTTTGCAGCCAGCTAAAGATTGAGGCAGAGTTTATGTGTTGCATTTGGGGACTGCTCTTTAGACCCCATTTCCAGGATTAAATACCTCATTTTGCAGCTACTAGGATTTCCCCGGATCCTGTCTTCTGGTTTATAGAGCCTAAAAGTATGACTTTCTATCTGAGTTTCAGTAGCCACGTGGCACAGACTGGGACCTGTCCTCAGGCTAAAAGCCATGAAAATAAGAAGCTCACCCAGTGTTGCCTCTTCCTCCAACTGCTGTCTCCCCTGCAGGGCCTGACATCTAATGAGGGGCACATAGTGGGCATGAGACCACAGTTGTAGGAGAGACTACTGTACTGGGGGGCAGGAGGGCTCTCCAGGAAGGCTTCCTGGGGGAGGTGGTATTGAGGCTGGAGATGTGTCAAACATTCCAAAATGAGAGCATGGACTTTCCAATTGCATGATTTTACTGATGACAACTTCCAGCTCTCAGGGGAGGTAACTTTTCCTAAGGCAAGCTCTAGAAGACACTTACTGTAACAATGAATGGACGTTAAATACCCACCAGCCCCTTCCTGGGACGGAGGAAGCAGTGCCCTGGCCTGAGATCTGTAGTTGCTCTGTAGATGTTTGCAGAAGGGGACTGGAGGGGGTGGTCAGGACTCCCAAACCTGTAGAGTGAGGTTGAATCTCAGATTTATCTGGCACATTTCTGAGCTGGCAGCTGCCACTCCTGTGGAGGCCAGAAGCAAAGATGAGAAAAAGCTTTGACTTTCTGTCTGGTAAATTTTGGTCATTCATCATTCCTTGGTGTACGGTCCTTCAGCCCTCCCAAACTCTCTCACCTCCAACATCTCTCTTGAGTTTCTAATCACGGGAAAACCGTACTATAGCCATGCTACAGATGACAACACTGAGTCGCAGAGCAGTGAGGCAGCCCACCCAAGGTCACGTAACCCAGGCGTTGAAGCCAGGACTCCAACCCAGGACTTCAGATCGGTCGATGAACAGCTCAGGGGGTTGTCACTGTGGATGGGCCTCCATCCATCTCCTCAGTTGCCAATAGAAATGATAGTCACAGCTCCCTCAGGGGCTGGCATGAGGTTCAAAGGAGGCAGTGGATATAAAACTGACATATAAATTGTAAATTGCCTGCAGATGTTATTGTCTGTTACTGTGGTAGCTGCCCAGCATTTATGGACCACATTTGCTCTGGATACCAGTGGTTACATTGGCGTTTTAATTTAATAGCATTGTTATTCTTCCATCATAAAAATCATATATACTATGCATATGTCCAAACTCATTAAATTGCATACATTAAAAGTGTGCATTTTTGTGTATATCAGTTACACCTCAGTAAAGCTATTAAGAAATATACATTCATTACAGAAGATCTAGAAAACATGGAAACATAGAAAGAGAAGGAAAAAAATATTTTCTTTCAACCGCCCTAAAGCAATCTCTGTTTAACGTGGTAGAAAAGTCTCTTCCAGCTTGTTTTCCCTCTGCCCAGTTTGTTTGCTGTTCAGCATGGCTGTGATCACTGGTCTATATAATTAAAGACATTTTACATACAGTTTTATATCCTGCTCTTCCCCGCTAAGGGCGTGCTGACATGAAACAGCAAGAACCAGAGCCACGGGCAGGAACCCGGCACTGCTGGGCTGTGCCTCCGGCTGTGGCCCTCCTGTGGCCCTGGGCCAGGCAGGCTGCCCACACAGGGACAAGTGTCAGGCAGCCGGGCCAATTCCACACTCAGAGAGCATCTCCGTGATCCCAAAGAGCGGCTCTCCTTGTTTGTTATTCCCTTTATTTTTAAGTTTAATGAAACGTGCTCTTATCCTGATCAGTGAGTACATCCAGCCCATTATCCTGCTTCTGAACCACCTTCCCTCTGTCCTCTTTCCTTTTGCCGTCAGAGCTGGCATTTACCTGTGGCTCAGAGGCCAGTGCGGGTCAGGAGCTGCCTCTGAAGGCACGTGATTGGAAAAGGAAAAGGCATGTATGGAATAGCAAATAGGACTGGGAAAACCACTGGAGGCTGAGAGAGCAGTTCTTGAGACAAAAGGTAGCTGGTATTTTGAGAATCAGCAGGGAGCCTGAGTCGGAGTGGGAGGGCAGGGCTGAGAGTAGTAGGAATTGGGGTAGGGATCCGTTACCTTTCATTGAGTTAAAACACGGGGCATTCAACACTAACATTTTTTGTCACGCATCTGCCAACCCCGCCGATCTAGGCTTGGTTGGACTGGGTGACCAGGCAGCTCAGCTGGGCGGCTTTGCTGCGGGCCTGGGCAGGTCCTCCTCCGGGGCCGCGGCAGAAGCGCAGGACGGCGGCTTGTCTGCTGGCGTCCCGCAGGCCAAAGCCCATCACAGGGCACGGTACCCGGCCCAGGGTGGGAGGCAATGCCAAGTGCCAGGGGCAGGTGCGGGACAGGGTGAAGATTTGGGCTCCTGACGTGGCCTGCCTCGGGGGGCCACAGGTCACTCAAGGCTTTAGATACTCTGAAGACCTTCGCTTTTCCTCTGTCGGTGGGGAGCCGCTAGAGGGGTCCGAGAAGGCTCCCTCTGGCTGCTCTGTGGAGACCAGCTTGTGTCTGGGCCAGGAGAAGTGGAGGGGATCGGATGGGAGACCGTTGCAGTCATCCAGGCGAGAGGCGGGAGAAGTGATGGAATCTGGATGTATCTTGAAGGCTGAGACAATAGGACTGGATGTGGAGGGTGAGAGAGAGAGGGGAGAGTCACGGTGACCCAAAGGCTCGGGCCCGAGCCAGCGGGAGGATGGAACTGCCTTCATTTGAGGCAGAGAAGGATGCGGAGGAGGGGGTTTGAGCAGAAATACCCCATGAGTCGGGGTGGGGGAGGGGTGGGCCATCATCCTGGCGGCTGGAAGGAGGACACAGTATGAGAACCTGCCTGGGGCTGCCAGGAGGAGTAGTCAGATGTGTGGTTTGTTTGAAAGGAGATCCATTGTGCTGAAGCCTTACTAGAGCTTTTGGTGCCTACAGGGTCCAGGCCAGGAATGTGAAGGTTACGGGGGTGCCATCCATGGGGAGCTCAGTGGAGGCAGGGAGGGGTACAGTTGGTCTCTGTGGCCCCCAGAGTTGGGCTAGTGAGTGTCAGATCTGCATCCCAGTCACCTGGTCAGCACACGAGGAAACCCCCAGACTGCTTCAGGAGGAAGGGGAGCAGGAAGGAAGGAAAGACACCCGTGAACGGGTCTCTGTCCCACGGCCAGCGGGGAGGGGGCCGGGCCCCTGGTCTGTGCTCTTGCTATCCGATGGGGGCCCTGGGGCTGGGTGCGCAGCTTTGGCCACCTGCACAGCACTGGGTCCTAATGAGCCACATCCTCCTGTCTCTGTTCCACCACAGCCGATATCATCTCTACCGTCGAGTTCAACCACACGGGGGAGCTGCTGGCCACCGGCGACAAGGGTGGCCGGGTCGTCATCTTCCAGCGGGAACCGGAGGTGCGGCGGGGCCTGGTGGGAGGGGGACTACGGCTCAACCCGGGCTTTAACCCGCAGGGGGCCTCTGGGCATCCCGCCGGGATGCCTGGGCTGGATGAAAGGGCGCCGCGGCATGCAGGGATGGGACCGGGCAGGCCCAGGGAAGGGAGTCCACCGGGTCGACTCACAGCACCATATTCTGAGCCCCCTCTTCTGAGTGGAAGTTTGCTGATTGGTCACTGTGTCCTAGACCCTGGAGAAACAGACTCCTGATTAAACTGCCCTCTGCCTCCATGCGCTGGTGCTGTCCGGCCAGAGCCGGGTGGAGGGGAGGACGGACCCTTCCGCAGCTGTGGGTGGCCCTCTGTCTGGCGTTGGCGCTTTTGCTCAGCCCCGGGCCTTGCCCCAGGGAGGTCTGCTGTCTGGAACAGCCTACCCGAGGCAGTCTTTCTGAACCACTGGAAGAACCTGGTGCTTAAAAGGCCCCATTTGTTGAGCACCTACTACATGCAGACTCCTCACTTCGTTCTCCACGTGCTTTTCCCAGTCACTCTTCACTGCCCACCTCTGAGGGTGGGGACTGACACCCCGTTTCATAGATGAGGACGCCTGCACAGTCACCCAGCTAGTGAGCAAAGACCAGGGATGGAAACCAGGACTGGGTGTGGTCTGTCACTCACACACCACCCTGCCTTTCGGGGCTGGGATTAGATGCTGAAGACAGGATCTAAGGTGACACCAAGGTCGGGGAGGAAGAGGTAGGGGGGAGGGACAGAAGAAGAGGGGGCAGGAGGGAGGATGAAGGGGGCAGAGGAGCTGCAGTAGCATCCTCCCCCCTCCCGTTCCTCAGCATCCTCCCCACAGCTGACGTTCCCTGAGCTCTGACTTCACCTGTGTTCACTCCCATAACCCTCCCTCGTGACAGCCCTCGTGGTGCCATTAGGTGCTATTGTCATCCTCATTTTACAGATGAGGAGATCAGAGCTCAGAGGGTTGCAATAACTTACCAAGAACACATAGCCAGAAAGCAGATAGCTGAGAAATTGGTTATCTGGTGAGCCCAGTACTGTGGCTGGAGCGCTTTGATTCATGAGAAGGACCAGAGGATCCCACTGGGGATTGCAAAGCCAAGTCTTCTTTTTGCCAAATTGCAGAAAGAAATCAAATAATCGGTAGATGTGCAAGTTTCTCAGTTTTGAATATTTCTTCCTTTAATTTTTTTCTTAATTCTGGTCCCACTGACCTTCTCCATAGCCAGTGCTTACAGGAGATGGAGTGAATTAGAGGCAAAGATATTGAAGAACTTTAAAGCTTTCCAAAAGCACAGCAGGAAGAGAAATCTATAAGTAGATACTTTTGAAAAACCAACAGAAAACTTGAAATTGTGCTTGGCTGACTACCTTTGTTTTGCTCCCAGGCAGTTTTAGTTGCAGTTTCATGTTGTCATATGAACTTGAATTGTCTACCAGCAAGTAGTCCCCGGTACCTGCGATGGACTCACCACCTCACTATCTTGGGGCCTCCACCAGGAGGTCCTTACTGTAATGAGCTTGGCTGCCTAAACCAGAAGGGGACCCGCTCAGGAAAGCTGGGGGGAGGATACCCTATCCCAGTCTATCCCGATGTCTGTCTGACATTGCAGGGTGTCTGGCCCCAATGTTAAATCTGCTCCAAAATGCGTTCATTCCTCGAGTCAGACCCAAGTTGGACACAAGGATGTGGGAGCAGATCAGAGCCTTGGCCTTGGTGCCAGACAGACCTCAGTGGAGTGAGTGACAGCACTTTGTGGACACGTGGCTTCGGGGGCGGGGGGTCGACTCACCTCTGAGCCTCCGGTTGCTCATCTGTAAAGCGGGGGGAGTCATGGTGCCCATCACAGAGGGGCGTCGAGGATAGAATGAGAGGAGGCGTGAGCAGCACTTAGCTCAGTGCCCTGCGTACAGTAGGTGCTCAGTAGACATGAGCTGACGTGGTTGCCCTTGTTCTTGCTTACTGGACGGAGGAGGTGATGGAGTTTGGCCATGGCTGCACAGCAAGGTACTGGCCATTTAAAAAGCAGAGAGTTTCCCTGGACCCTTGCTTGGATGCCCGGTCGCCATGGCTGTTCCAGGCCCTGCGTGGGTTGGACCAGTCCCGTCCCTGTCCCAGTGCTGGCTTCCGCCCCGCCCCACCATCCTGGAGTTCAGGGTCCGGTTTCCTTGCAGAGTAAAAATGCGCCGCACAGCCAGGGCGAGTATGACGTCTACAGCACTTTCCAGAGCCACGAGCCGGAGTTCGACTATCTCAAGAGTCTGGAGATAGAGGAGAAAATCAACAAGATCAAGTGGCTCCCTCAGCAGAATGCCGCCCACTCCCTGCTGTCCACCAACGGTGAGGCGTGTGCGTGCGCATGTGTGTGCACGTGTGTGTAGGCCTGCGTGCTCTTGTGCACACATACTGTAGCAATTTGTCATCAAATGCCATTTTTCACCTCACTTACATTGTGAGCATTTTCCTAGGTCTTTCGAACTCCTGAAAAATAGTATTTTGAGCAGCGGGTAAATTCCATGCAGTGAATACACTTGTTCACCCTCTCCTGGTGGTCGGCCGGGGGCTTATTCCCTCTGCTGCAAATAGCAGCTCCTTGGGCATGTCCGTGAATACTTTACTTTGGGGACGGACAAAGGAGGCCAGGTCAAGGGAAACAGTCAACACTCAATTCAGACTTGCCTCTTTATCCACAACCCCCAGAATCCCAGACCACCCCAGAGGGGAGGGTGTCACTGGGTGATCTGGGGTCCTCAGTGGATGGTACAGGAGGAGCGCTGGTTGCCTGGCCGCTGGCCATCTGCCTCTGGGAGACGGTACGCATCCCCAGGGAGGCTCCCAGCCAGACCCCTGCTTTGCTGCGGTCCACTCAGAGGCTGCGGTTCCTGGGGCCATCTGGCCTCTGCCGGCAGTGGGCCTGGAGCCAGAGGCCCCGCTTCCCACCTTCACATCCACCTGCACATCCTCCTTCACCTCTCAGCCCCATCATAAAAGGCTCCTGGGGTGGGAGCTAGGAGGGTCCTGGCTTCTGTCCCAGCCTGGGGACCTTGGGGAGTGGCCTTGCTTCTCTGAGCCTCAGTTTCCTCACCTGTGCTCCCTCTGGAGTTGCGACAAGGGTGGAGGGAGGTGTTGCCCACCCAGCACCCCAAGACCAGCCAGTACTGCTCCAGGGTGGATGAGTCTTATAAGATGATGCCACCTGCCTTCCCAAGGGAGTCAGACTCCTTAGGGCGGTCTTCACGGCATCCCTGAAACCTGTCAGACTGAAGCCACCAACCCATCTCTGTGTCTGAAGGCCGGATCTCCCTACCCCAACCTGGCCAACACCCCGCCTCATCCCTTAGGCCTCCGCTGGGTGTCAGCTCCCACTGAGCCTTCCCTGACCGCTCAGCAGAGCAAGGTGTCCTTCCTGTGGGCCTTCCCACCCTGCCGACCCTCCAGGGCTTGCCCTATGGAGCTCCTGCCATTCTGATTGTCTGTGTCCCCTGAGGGGTGCCTGGCTCGGAGTCATGTTCAGCAAACCCCGCCTCAGAGGCAGAGGGGCCCTTCCCAGGTGCTGGAACAGAGGCAGTGAGAGGTCCCCCACCACCAGAATAGGTCACCCAGGGCAGGAGCCCCTAATGCAGTTAACACCCTGGCCCTGCCACTTCCTCTTCTGAACTTGATGGCTGTTCTTGCCTCATAGGGTTTTGGGGAAGATGGAAGGAAATGACATCGTAAGGAGCTTAGAACAGGGCCGGCAACTGAGCCTCGTTCACGTGCTGCTTTTTTGTTTTTAAACATTTAACAGAGTGTCATTCTCTGCCCGCCTCTTTGGAGGAAAGGTCAGCTTCAGGAATTTCCTAACACCCACACCCTCAAAGCTTCCCACCCCCAGCTTTGAATCCCAGCTCCACCCTTTCCTAGTAGCCTGTCCATGGGCACCTGTCAAGTGTTTAATTGATAGCAATTTTCTCCCCTTCCTCTTCAGGAGCATAGAGGTGATTGTTTTGGCTGCTGTACTAGTAAGGGTTCTCAGAGAAACAGAGCTAATAGGATGGGTGTATGTGTGTGCGTGAGTGTAGACAGAGATATGGATATAGATGTAGACTTAGATATAGATACATAAGGAGAGGTTTATTTTCAGGAATTGGCGTGCCTGATTGTGGAGGCTGGCAAGTCCAAAATCCGCAGGGCGGGCTGGAGACCCAGCGAAGGGCTGATGCTACAGCTCGAGTCTGAAGGCCATCTGCTGGCAGAGCTCCCTCTTCCTCAGGGGACCTCGGTCTTTTTTCTCTAAAGCCTTCAGCTGATTGGAGGAGGCCCACCCACATTGTGGAGGATAATCTGCTTTAGTCCATGGATTTAAAAGTTAATCTCATCTTAGAGAATACCTTCAGAGTGACATCCACACATCTGACCAAATATCTGAGTAGCGTGGCTTAGCCAGGTTGACATCGAAAATGAACCATCACAGCTGGTAAAGGTTACTCGTTTGATGTTCTTGGCAGGATTCCAGAGAAGTGAGGCTTCCGGAGAGCTGAGTTTCTGGATGGGCGGGATGCATCTCAGGAAATAGGACGCCAATGAAGTGTAAAAAACAGGAAGCTTCGTTAGTACAGTTTTTGCGGAAATTAGTTGAAAGACTGATAACTGCCCTTGAAAGGGTCATGCCCTTTGACCTAACAGTTTCACCTTTGGGATCCATTGTGAGGAGCTCGAGCGTGACGACCAACGTTCCCTTTGCAAAGATTTTCGTAGCATCAGTTGACAGAAGGAGTCAAATTAGAAAGAAACTTCATGTCCACGAACAGGATAAGGTTAAGGAACTTGTGGGTTGATGCACCCTTATCTAGCAGACTCGAGTGGGTACTCCATTCTCCATGCGGGTGTTCATCATGTGTCTTGTCTCACTTTGTTCTATTTTTAAAGATAAAACTATCAAACTATGGAAGATTACCGAACGTGATAAGAGGCCCGAGGGTTATAACCTGAAAGATGAGGAGGGGAAGCTTAAAGACCTGTCCACGGTGACGTCACTGCAGGTAAGATGTGGCACACGGACAGTTCCGGCAAGCCAGGAGCAGTTTGTGCTTTGTTTATTACACAGCGAGGATTTCAGGACTGGAGGGGCCATGGCGATCTGAACCACGGTCAGGTTCTGATCCAGAACTTAAGAAGCCGGGCTGCTTGCTTGCTGGGTGGCCACCATCATTTTCCTGCTCTGTGCCTCAGTTTCCTCCCCAGCAAAGCAGAGAGGATCATCTTTCTTCTGGAAGTCCCGTGAGGATGAGGCAAGGTGATGCGTGTCCATGAAGCCCTTTTCAGCTGCACCCGAGGCTGGAGAGCATGTTCTCTAATCCCTTGTTATACAAATAGGGAAACGGAGGCCCAGAGAGAGGCAGCAACTGTCCCAGAGCAGCTCAGCTGAGCAAGTGGCAGAGCCAGGAGGAGAACCTATGAGCGGAGCGTTGTGGGTGGCCGGCCCTTTGCCGAGGGTCGGAGGGACACCCAGAACTTGTGATTCTTGCAGCCTTTATGAAGGCTCAGTGCAAAGATTGCCTTGATGTAAGAGCGGCCTGGAAGGGTTAAGTGGCAGAGCCGTGTGAAGGCAAGCTTTTGCTCTCAACGCGATGAAAAGCAAAAGGACTCATGTTTCTTCAGCGGGGAGGCTGGGAGATATGAAAGAGTTCTGGAGTCACAGGACCCGGGTTCAAATCCTGCCTCCGCCGCGTCCTGGTGGTGTGACCCTGGGCAGGGCTCTTGGCCACCACGAGCCTCTGATTCCTCATCTGGAACAAGAACAGACACTTGAGCATGTGTCTCCCAAGCACTCTGGCTATAAAATCATTCAGTCCTCAGCAAAATCCTGTAGTGGGTATGTGACTGTCATCCCCATTTTACAGATGAGGAAACTGAGAGCTGGATCCAAACCCAGGGAAGTCTAGCTCCACAGTCAGCATCAGCATCCAGTCTCCTCCGTGAAGTGGAAGTGAAGTTCCTGCCTCCCAGGGGAGCCATGGGGATGGTTAGCGGCTTCTTGCAGGAAGCACACTGAGGCCGCCTTGTCCGTCCCTGGCTTCCAGAACCGTGCCTGGAAGAGGGTGGGTGCTTTCAGCCACCCATGTGTTTGCTGGAGGTGATGCCAGATTTATTCATTCAGCCACACTTACTGAGCACCTGCTGTGTGCCGCACAGCCCTGCTCTAGGCACCAGGAGGCCACAGTGCATGAAGAGTCTGGGGGCAGATCCGGTCTAAGCCTGGGACAGGCCCTGCTCAGGGAGGGGGCCTGAGTCCCAAGACTGAACGAGGATGAGTGTCGGGAGGTGACTGCGCTCTTCAGCAGATTTGAAAGGTCTGAGTTCACATCACACGGAATGCTGTCTCCCTGGGTTCCTACCGTGGCCGTGTTTGCTGCTCCGAGTGGGCAGTGGTGCTGCCTGGTGCCGCGGTGGTGCTAAGGCCCCTCCAGGCTCCCAAACTGCTCACAGACCCACCACCGCTGGTCAGATGGCTGTGGCCGTTTCCCTGCTCTGTGCCTCAGTTTCCTCACCAGCAAACAGGAGATAACGACTCGTTTTCTCTGCAACGGCTTAGCAAGCGCCCCGCACTCAGCACCCAGCCGACTGTCATAAATATGAAATGGCAATCAATGTTGTTCCCAGGAGGAGGAATAAATGTTTAAACACATTGGCCTCTAAATGACTGGCAAATTGCACAAATAAATTCTGAGAAAGCAGGGAAGCCAATTAGCTTTGACATTGAATAACGGGAGTGAGGGTGCCTCCCCGCTCCCCCCACCTCCAAGCCCCAAGAAAGTTTATGAGGGTTTCATCTGGTGGGAGGAGGCAATTATCACCTCTTGATTGGCCTGGCATTTGCGGCAGAGCCAGTGGCCCATGGGAATCTTGTTTATTTCCACCCAGCGTCTGAGATTTTTCTCTGTATGTCACACACATCCCGAAATGGCACTTAACTGTAAACTGAGGCTGAAGGAGAAGAAAGGGGGAAAGAACGTGGGTGCCGGGGTCCTTCCTCATCCAGCCTCTCACCTTGTCTCCTCCCCAGTTCACCCAAGCCTCCCGAACCCTGTGAAGCTCTCTACCTAATCTGGGCCATTTGTGCTAGAGGCAGCTATTATTTACTGAGAACCTGCTCTCTGCTAGGCCCTGTGCTAGGTCTCTGGGATCCCAGAGCTGAGCAAGGTGAGACTGAGTGCCTACCCCCAAAGTGCACCCAGGCCCCCAAGGAAATAGGCATGGAGTCACCCCCACACTGGAGGTCAGCTCTGTGACACAGGAACACACAGG